CAGTGAAGTTATATATTTTATCATAAATATTATAATTTGTTTTTATCTCGTAACTGTTACTCAAAATCCAAAAAAAAAATATTTATTTATATAAAAATATTTTTTGATATATCCAAATAATAAAAATTAACTCATTTTTCTCTCAATTTAGCAAGTCCCAATTACTCGATGTTGGTTGATGAACCATTGGAGACGAAAGATGGCTCTTAGCTTCGCAGCGTCTACGTTTTGAAGAGTGTTTTTATAAAAAAAATTTATTTTTATTTTTTAAAATTAATATTTTTAAATTATTTTAATATATTAATATTAAAAATAAATTTTAATGAAACGAAGCTATTATTGTGGTCAAGAAGAGGGCTATTCTCTCTTGGGGCCCATTGTTAATTCTAGACGAGACTGCCTCCGAGATACTCAATGCATGGCCCACATTTAAAGCGACCTGATGGGAGGTTTTTTTTTCTTTTGACTTCTTGACAAGGAGCTGGTGGCAGTTGAGATTTTTTGGTTTTTGATTATACGGTACGACTTTAGATTTATGGCGCTGGTTGATAGCTTGATATTACTTACGGTGATATAGTTTTTTTTATTTAAATAATTTTTTAAAAATTTTAGAAAAATTAGTTTTCTTATTAATATATCAGAATAATTTAGAAATAAAAACATTAATTTTAAATAAAAAATATTGTTTTTTTAAAAAATATTTTTTAAGCAGACAACTTGATGCAAGAAGACAGCTACCTTTTTGTTTTTTGTTTTCCTACTGTTCCATTTTGTTACATTGAATTGATGTAGATAATGTTTGGAAAAATAATGTATTTTTAAAAAAATTAAATTTTTTATTAAATTTTTTTTTATATATATTATGAATTTTAAAAAAATTAAAATTTTTATTAAAAATTAAGTTTTTATATATTTTGAATTGTTTTCATGTGGTTAATTTTAAAAATATTTAAATATAAAAAATATTTTTAATATATTTAAACATAAAAAATATTTTTAAAAATAATTAATTTACACTTCAAAACAAGTCAGTTAATCATTGAAAATCAGCGCGTACATGTAAAGGTTTTTTTCCAGTGTTGGCGATGGATTATTCTTGGTGTCGTTACCTGCAAAACAGAATCTTTGTGTATCTATGAGACCCTCTGACAGTTTGATGATGGAGTTTTAATGGGAAACAAAAGGTGCAGGCTTTGTCTGTCACGGAGCGCTGGATCCCTATAAAAATACCTCACCCGTCGACTTGCCTGCAAAGACAAAGGAGTGTAGCTTGTCATCGTCTAATTTTTTTTTTTTTTTTTTTGTTATTGGTGTGATATCAATTATTTTTTTTAATATAAAAGAATATTCTTTCACTAATGTTCTCATCCCCAATTTAGTTGTTTTTGTTATAAAAATTAACTTCTTTTTTCTTCAAAATTTCCACCGTGCTTATTTTTTCTATGCAAAAATAAAAATAACATGAGCAAGATCTAGCATGTAATAGATGGGAATAATAAGTAAAAATATATTATTATTTTTTTGCATTTAAAGGCCAAACTAGTTATTTGACCCATGTTTTATATCTAATTAGATTATTTTTTGGTGAAAGATGAATATGTAATTTTTTTTAACATATTTTTCCACAAAAATATCTAATTATAAATTAAAACATTTATAAATGCATTTAATTAAATAACTGAAGAACCATATTTGTCATTAAATAAATAAAAAATTGTTAACTTTTTTATTTGACTTGTCTCGTAACAAGTCTAATAAAAAAATTTATATGTAAAAATCAATATTTATATATAATTAAATAAAATAAAGATCATGTATATTAATAAAAATATATAAAATATTAAATTAATTTTTCATGTATTATAAAAATAAAATATAAAAATATATAAAATTTTAAATTAATTTTTCATGTAGTATAAAAATAAAATAATACTACAACTATTATAATAAAACATCATTTACTTTTAGTTTTGTATAGTAATTTTTCAAAAAAAAAAGAGTCTAAAGAAAAAGTTACAAAAACAAATTACAACAGAACGAAAAAAAAAACAATTGTATTACAGGTGAAGTGTAAAGTGATAAAAAATAAAAAAATTATAAAGAAAAAAAACTAAAAAAATATTACAAAAGAATAAAGATAAGAAAAAAAAAAGAGTTAGTAAATGACAAAGTATAAAGTGGTAAATATGCAAAGTATAATAAAAAAATAAAAAAAAAAATTTCTCCTGGCACCTGAAAATAATTGGAATTTTTTTCAAATTTGCTATCTATGCAATGAAAGAGAGTTTCCTTATATAATTATAATTAATCCGAAAAAGTGAAGGCCGGAAGTTAAGTTATCAATTCAGTCATGAAATCTCTTCGAAATCCACGTAATCAACTTTACTAGATAGTTAGGAGTCACTTCTCGTTTTCCTGAGTTCTATAGTAGGATTTTTTAAAAAAAAAAAAATAGCACATTTAAAAAATTAATTTGAAAAATGATACAATTTAAAGATTTGCATTATAGTTCACATATGCAACAAGAATGTTTATTTTAATTTTTATGGTTAAGATTATAGTTAGATACAACTTAATTATACATAAAATTTAATTACAAAAACTAAATTTTTTTTATTGTTTTTCTGAGGCTTTTAAAACAAAGACACGTATATTACAAAAACTTTTTTTTTTTGTTGTTTTTCTAGGGCTTCCATATCAAACCGCAATCTTCACTTTTAAAACAAACACACATATCTGTTTCGTTTGTAAATTTAGGTGTCTAGATATAAATACAAGAATAAAAAATAAAAAGAAAAGGAAAACAAATGAGATAGTGACATTATTATTTTTAGTAGTAATATATAAGATAAAATAATTATCTTTGTATCATGTTTAGTTAAGATGAATAAAACAAAATAAAATATAAAAAAATTTATATTGTTGTTGGTTTACATATTTTTAAAATAATTAGATGTTTTTTTAATTTAGTTTATATTGAGTTGGGATTAGTAATATTATAATAATTCTAATTATAAAACCAGAACTTAACCTGACTTGATAAAAAACCCAGATCAACCTAAAATAAAATACATGTCAAAAACTTATTGACTTTTTTGAAAAAAAAATTGATCAACAAATAATTACTATGATTATTAAAAAAAAATTAAACCCAGATCAACCTAAAATAAAATACATATCAAAAACTTATTGATTTTTTTTAAAAAAAAATTGATCAACAAATAATTGCTATGATTATTAAAAAAAATCGGGTTAGTTAAGTTAATCATTTAGAATCGTAATCTAAACCTTGTCTCGAATTTACTTTCAGGGTTAGTTAAGTTAATCATTTAGAATCGTGATCTAAACCTTGTCTCGAATTTACTCTCAAATTAAATTTTAAAATTATAATAATAATAATTTTTATTTATATATTGACTCAATTAACTCTTATTAATCTTTTTAATCCGTGAACTTGATCCTGTTCTAATTAACTTTTTATTTAAAAAGCTAGTTGCTACTAATATTTATGGGTATTTAAGAATATCTAAAGCACGGGGCCAATCTAGCAAGCAACTACCATGGCAATTCAATTACTGCTTCCTTTCAAGGTCAATTCTATTGTACTCCAAGGAAAAATATGAGCTTTCGATGTTTTCATTTTGGCCTATTTAAATTATAGATAAATACCAAAATGGAAATTTGGAGAATATTGAAGATGCATACCATTTGTGTCCAATTTTAAATAATATCTTCTCAATTCTCCCTTTAAAATTTATTTTAAATGATGTCTCCCTGTCATTGCTCAATGAATATGGAATAAGAATATTAAAATTACCGGTTTGATTAGATAAAAAAACTTAACTCAACAAAAATAAATATTGAATTTTAAAAAATAATTTAACTAGTGAGATATTAAATTTATTTTTTAATATTTGAGTGTTCTAGAATACTAAACATTTATATACTTATTAATTTTAAAACCTATAAAATTAATCTAAATATATGTAAATTAACTATTTATGTCAATAATAAAAATAAAAAAAAAACGCAGAGGATATTTTTTCCCTGTTTAGTAGTAAGGGAGGGACGATGACGAGTACGGGATACATGCCCCGGCCCCGGGGGAAACCTGACTCTCCATTTTAAATACCCTCATAATGTTACATGTATTTAAAATAAACGTGTTATTGGATTTATAGACGAGAGTTATTGTAAATTATAATATGTACTTAATATTAAATTCTCATTGGATATTAAATATCAAATATTAATTATAAATGTAAGAAAAATATTTTATCTCTCCCAAATCCTCTCCAAACCTTATAAAGAAAAAAGTTTTTCTTAGTTATAGATTATTTGGAAGTATTATATCAGTTGTATTTTAATTTTTTTTAGAAAATATATTAAAGTAATATAATTTTTATTTTTTAAAAAAATATTTTTAAAATTAATATATCAAAACAATAAAAAATATATAATATTAAATAAAAATTAAAACATGAAAGAGTTGTTTAATTGTTAAAAAATGGGGCAAAAAGAGAGGCGCTTCCCTAATAATCATCAATTATAAAAATAATTTAATTTCGAGTCAAAAGTTAAAAAAAAAATTTTTTTTTAGTTTACCAAATAAATTGTGTAATTTCATAATCTTACGAGGTTAATGCTGGTGGAATAACTTTTTGAAGAAACTTTAGTATATACTACATAATAATAATCGTCTTTATAGCAGAATGATTCCTTTCCATTTCCAACGCACGAATGTATATAAATATTATTTTAAATTATAAAAGCTACCTTAAATAGACTTATATATATATATATAAAACAGCTGCCCTGTATTTCTCATAGCTTCTGTTTCCGTTTTTACATGTTTTTTAATAAATTAATATTAAAACACTATTTTTTAGTTTTTTCTAACAATTTTAAAAAATAAAACAAATTATTTTTATACATTTTTAAATAAAAAGCAATTTACTCAACAACCCCAAACATCATAAATATAAGAAGTAACAACACATTGCAATTCCCAAGCCGAAGGCAATAGCGAAGCCCATCCCTTCTCTCACCCCTCTTGTCTCTCGATCTCTCCGCCCTTCGATCCATCTCGTTTATAAAACCAAACAGATTCTTATATTTATTTTTGGATCAATTTTTTTCGAACACCAGTTACTTTGTTTTGTTTGACGAGAAGATGGGCGCGGGAGAGCTCCTCAGCATCGAACCTCTTGAGCTCAAATTTCCCTGTAAGTCACCGATGCACGGTTTCCTTCCTTCCCTTCTTCATCTTTCTTTATTCCTGCGTTTGATTTCCATTTATTTTTTTGGATTAGTTGAATTGAAGAAGCAGATCTCTTGTTCTCTTCAACTCTCCAATAAAAGTGATAATTATGTCGCTTTCAAGGTAAATTGATTTCCCTCTTCATTTATTTATTTATTCAAGGTAAATTGATTTCCCTCTTCATTTCTTTATTTATTTATTTTTTTCTGTCTGTTTTGTTTTTTATTCATTTGGATCAAAGGGGTTCCTGTCGCGAAGCTCAGCAATGACAAGAACAGTAATGAACTCAAATCCAGTATTTTACAATATAGATTTGTGGGATATTCAAATCTCTAATTATGTTTGATGCTTAGGTCAAAACAACAAATCCCAAGAAGTACTGTGTCCGACCAAATGCTGGGGTTGTGTTGCCTCGCTCCAACTGTGATGTTATTGGTGCCCATTTCGTTCATTTTATTATAATGTTTTTTTTTTTTAAATAGACCTTTTGTTATCTGATTTTTAGTGCTGCTTTGTAATTTTTTGCATTGATTTGATTTAGTTACGATGCAAGCACAAAAGGAAGCTCCTACTGACATGCAATGCAAGGACAAGTTCTTGCTTCAAAGTGTAAAAACAAATGACGGTGTCACTGCAAAGGATATCAATGCAGAAATGGTAAACTATGTACTTACATTTAATTTATTTACTTTGCACGTGGGTTTAATTATGGATAGTGGGGTTATGGCTTGTGGTGATTTTTGGTTGTGCAGTTCAGTAAGGAGGCAGGGCATCATGTCGAGGAGTGCAAATTGAGAGTGCTTTATGTTTCTCCCCCACAACCACCCTCTCCTGTTCAAGAAGGGTCTGAGGAAGGGTCATCCCCCAGGGGTTCTGTGTCGGACAATGGGAATGTTACTGGCACTGATTTATCTGCTGTGAGTACATGAGACTATCTTTTATTGATATTGTCGTTGTGACCCTCCATCATCCTAAAGGTATCGATGCCTTGCTTTTTGTTGGTGAACATAGGCAACAAGGGCATTTGTTGAGCGGCTTGAACCTCAAGAAAAATCTTTGGAGGTAAAATTCAGCTGCATTTGTTTACTGATAAAAAATTTACATGCCTTGTTGGGTAGCTTTACTAGCAAGTTCAGTTGTATTTTCATGGATAGGAGCTACTATACATGTATAAGAACTGTACCTCACCCTATTATACATGTATAAGAACTGTTCCTCCAGCTTTTGGTTAACTTATGGTTTCTAAATCAGCTAATCATCCATGTCATTTATCAAGGTCCCCTGTTGAGTTACTGACAGCTAATACATTCTACATCTATACTGAAAACTGGTTTGGTCTCTCTTTGACCAAGGTGGTCTGCGACAATGTTATTTTCTTATTTAGATGGGCTTGTTTGGACCCCTAAGCTATTACTTCTGCATAACTCACAAGCAAGCTTTTAAGTTCTAGTGACATATCACTTGATGTTTGAAGCATATGGGTGTTGATGATCGCTACCTGATTTTAATTAGGTTTATTGGAGTGGTAAAATAATTGGGTGTTACTTCATTCCGGCCAGGATTGCTGCAATGATTGTTTATTCTTTCTGTAGTTATGACTATAATGAGATATCCATCAAATTAGTATTTTCTATCTTCCATTTGGAAAGTTGCAATTTTCTGTTAGACTTTTTATCTAGTTTTAACTTCGCTCTAATTTTTGTCACGTCGGGGTTCCGTCTCTAGAGACATACCTATTTCTTTCTTTCTGTAATTCATCCTAGATGGATACATTGAATTCCTTTTCATGTGCTCCCGTGAAATTAGATTCTAAATCTATCTACTGAAATTTAATGGTTATGGTTGATACTCATCATGTCATTTATTTGTGAGTAATCATAAAAATAATAATCTATGCGACTCTCTCTCTCCCTCTCTCACGACTTGCCCACACACGCACTTGCTATGTGGTTTAACTTGCCATTTAATTCTGTATATGCTGTTATGCTACAGTGGATTGCATATGGTGATTTTTTTTATTTTTTTTTATGAATCGCATGTCGTGATCAAGGATGTGATAAATTACTCTGTAATAAATACTTTGCTTAATTGCAGGCAAGAGCCCTTATTTCAAAGCTGACTGATGAGAAGAATAATGCGATTCAACAAAATAACAAGCTGCGTCAAGAATTGGTGAGTCATTATGTATCATTTGACAATTCTCTTGTAAGGTTAGATTTTATGAAGATTCAATATTCTGAGTACAAGTCTTGACTTCTCTGTATTGTTTTGTCTCCTTGCCTCTCATTTTCTATGTCCTAGTAGAAGGTCATGTTTGTCGTGGAAAGTGAGAGAAATGGAAATAATGAAACTATACAGTCTGTCTCTCCCTTCCTTTATTCATATGAAATTCAACCAGAGGTGGCTAAATTTCTGAAATCTGAACATACTCACTTTCTAAAATTCTTGCATTACAAGTTAAATATATTGTAGGTTCTCCAAATTGGTAATGACTATCAGTCCTGGATCGACTACTAATAGAACCAATGCTTTACCTAGGAAAATAAGACATACAGTCTGCAACAACATCCTGTTGCTGATATCCTGGAATTTTACACAATGCCAATATATGCTAAAAATTAGAACAAGACTCAATTCTATTCTCAGAACATCATTCAAGGTCCCTTGCCCATGATGCACAAGTTTTGGAGCTTCAAATCAATGCTTGAGCAACATAATAAGCTTTCCCACCTTCTTATAGTAGTGGACAGGCTGAAACTAGTTACTTTTTCAGCAAACACCAGCATCAGTATCTTAAATTTTTTTTCTTTGGATTTTTCCTGCCTATTTTTAACCATCAAACCGTATCTCCATTTTTTCCTCGGTCAGTAATTATTTGACTTCCAGCTGTTTTTTAGTGAATTTTACAGATATTGCCTGATGCGGGATGAAAATGATAGGTGCTGGTATTGTTGGGTTGTACTGGTTAGCTGCATCTGGTCTATCATGCTTTTTATTTGTAATTTTTTTTAGGAAATCCATGTTGACACTTCAGCATCTTTTGCTATGTATTCCTTTTTCTCCAGTCATCCCTAATTGAAAATTTTACCATCCCTGCAATTACTGCTTTATTAATCGATTTGATGTGAGGTTAAACTTTCATAATATGTGCCCTTTCACCCAACTAATAATGGAAATAGAAAAGAAATTTAAAGCTATGGTGCCATTTAGGCTTGATGGTTTTATAATAAGCTCCTTAAGTTTTGAAACAGAGGATTGGTGCTTATTATAATGTAATTAATATACCATCATCACAGGACCAATCCAAGTAAAAGGACAAGTTATGCACCTGGATACTTTGATGGGATGTTTGGTTTGTAATTAGGCTTGGTTTCCGTGACTTCTGTTGTACTTTTGTCTATTATACTTTCTGCTATAATATTTACCATCTCATCTTTCCCATTTATTTTTGCCTTCTGTTTCAGTTTCACCATTTTAGCATTTCCTTGATTTTCCTGTCCTCAGTTCACTCCATAAGTGAGTTTATTAGCTGCAAGTTTGTATAATCAGTTGCCTTAGGACTGCCTTTATTCTTTCCTCATTCAATCTCTTTAAGTTAGAAAGCTCATATGTAAGAAAGAAAGTTCGAAGTTTTTTATTGTGATTATTGCTGTATATATCTTTCTCCCAATCCTATGATCTTCAACAGCAGTACATAGTTACTTAATACTTATGACGCAGGAACTCCTGAGACACCAAGGCAACAAAAACCGTGGTGGTGTATCGATAATGTTCGTCATCTTTGTTGGCTTGCTTGGCATATTTTTGGGGTATCTCATGAAGAAGACTTGAGCAGTTGCCCTCTATGTCTTCGGCCAGCAGCTTCTTCATCTTTCCTTTCCTCACCAGTCAAAGAATGATGATGAAAGGAAAAGAAACTAATGAACAGAACTTGGTGGATTTCTTAGATTTCTGCAACTAGCAAAATTGTTTAGGTCAGGTGATATGTTGCATGTAGCCGCCATGCGGTGTGACCTGTGCTTGTATTGACACCATGAAGATTCTTTTTGTAACCTAAGGTGGATGATTATGCGCCCCCCTCTCCCCTCTTCAATTTGAGTGATTCTGGTAATGGGATGCTAAGAACTATTCATAATCTACACAATTTCGTTGTGCTGGAAAAAACAGTGAGATGCATGGTGTTATTAGCAAATTCTAGTATTTTTCATAAGCGATTTACACGTGCGAAATTGTTATGTTATAATTTTTTTTTTAAATCCTGAAATAATTATATGATGAATAGGAGGACACTTTCATAAGAAAAGCCCCAGAAAATATGAAATCCGGAATTCTATTGCGCAAGTAAAGGTGGCGAATTCACTTGTGTGCTGATGGAGGTAATTCTAGAACATTGTTTCTCCACCGCTCTGGAACCTTCTGTTCCCCTCCCCTCTTTTCCTCGAGGATGATTCCAAGCTTCCTATATAAATAGAACCCACCAAAACGTCGAAGTTGCTGCACCACCTTAAACCCCACGCCAAAACAAGAAACTTTTCTCTAGTCCAAAACAAAATGGCAACATCTGTCGCTCTAAGGAGAGCCACCGCTTCTCCTCTGTTTGCTAAGCTCACCAGCCCTGTTCGTTCCGTCTCTGTTTTTCGTTCCTCCAACACTGATTCTCAGTCTCAGGTCGCCAACACCGGAGGTAATGCCCCAGGTGACTATGGTAGGGTCGAGCTTGATCGCCGCAGTTCCTCTGATCGTAGCCCTGCTGGCCGTGGTGATAACACTCCAAGTTTCTTCTCAGGTACCTGTTATATTTAAGCAAGATTTTAAATTTCCACAACTGCCTGGCAAGAAATCACGGGTGATCGGACTTTCTAACAATTGAGTGGAACACCTGAACATTCAGCACTTTTCAACAATTGAGTGAAACCCCTGAACATTAAACATTTTCAGTAGTTTCATTTGATTAATAATTAGAGGACAATATACTTGAGGCTTCTTATCAAACTTGGATAGTCCCTGTGATTTGATGTAAGTTAATTCACTCATATTTCCTGCAATAAAATTTCCATAGGAATTTTATTACAAATATATTTTGATTTATTTTGTAGTTTTTGTATATAATGCAACACAAAGAAAATTGTCCAATCCAATAAATGAAATATCTGATTTATTTATTTAATGTAAATACATTTTTGTTTTTGTACACAGATGCGTTCGATCCATTATTCCCAAAGAGGAGTCTAAGCCAGGTCCTGAACCTAATGGACCAGTTCTTGGACAACCCTTTCCTTCCGGCCGCCACACGTGGTGCTGGTGCTTCCATTGCAAGGCGAGGTTTTGATGTGAAGGAGAACGAGAATGGCCTTTTTATATGCATGGACATGCCTGGGCTTAGCAAAGATGATGTAAAGGTGACCGTGGAGCAGAATACCCCTGTCATCAAAGGCGAAGAACCGAAGGAATGCGACGGGAGTGGAAGGAGGAAGTACTTTAGCAGACTCGAGTTGTCTTCAAATCTTTACAAGCTTGATGGGATAAAAGGTGAAATGAAGAACGGTGTTTTGAAGTTAATGGTGCCTAAAGTGAAAGAGGAAGAGAGGAAGAACGTGCACGAGGTTAAGATTGAGTGAGGTTTTATTATTTGACAGTTGGTTATGCAGGGGATGTTCTAGCTCTGTATCTTCGTTTTTTAATGTTTCTTTAGGGTTACTGCTGCCGCCATGGAAGTCCTGTATTGTGCAGACCAAAAGGTGATGTTTAGATGATAAATAAATAGTAAATTAAGCTCTATTTATGCTGCCTTAATTCGTTATGTATTTCATATAATTCAATAAGTTATTGATTTTTAAAAATAAAAGAATATGTAAAAATCAACATAATAATTATTAGATCTTGTGATTAATAATTAAAAGTGCAAGTGAATTATTTATAGAATAATTTAAATTTAGTACATGTTATTTAATTTTAGTGCATGCTATCAAAAATAAGAAAAAACGGTTTAATTATTCTTTTTCTCTAGCGGAAAAACTATTTCAGTTTACATTAAACGGAATAAATATGTAAATCCAGATGTTACATCACATGAGGAACTATTTATTATTGTAAAAAAAGATTTTAATATAAAAAGAAATAGAAAGGATTAATTTAAAATATTCAAGGGACATATTTAAATACATTATATAACTATAGGAACCAAAACAAATTTTAGAGGGGCCATGGCCCCCTCCCGCCTCTTTTTAGCTCCACTCTTATGCCTATAAACTAAAATTTATTTTCAATTAGGTTTTAGTACTTCTCAACCTTTGCAATTCGATCCTTATGCTTAATTTCTTTTGCATTTCAAGATCTGGATTTTAAGAAAGGAGAGCTAAGTGAAAACCAAAAAAGACAGGAAAAGGAAAGTTTTAGCTAATCAGATTCCATCCATAAGAAACATGGATGTTAATGTTAATGGATCCTTCTTGAAAAAGGAAGTTCATGTTAATGGGCCTTGCACAGTTGCACCCGTGGCCTAGGCGTGCAAGCCTGCCATCGACGTCCATCACCTCACTTTTTTATTTTTATTTTTTTTCTTGATTTTTTTCATGTTAAAAGCAACTTATTTTCATTATATTTATAATAAACTTATCATTTTAAGGCCTTAATTTATATGCTTGGATAGCTTTAAGTCAAACTTTAAATTTCAAAATCTTAATGCGATGTTTAGTAATGAAAAAATTGTAATAAAAAAGCAATAATTAAGTTAAAATTAAGCACATTTAAGTTTTGTTCTATATGATGAACTTAATGCATGTAAGAATTTAAAATTCACATTTAAAATTATTATTTTTATAATAGTATGCATTTGTTTATTTGTGATTTTTTTTTAAAATATCTCCTGTTATGTAAAATTAGGGGTGTTTATTGTTCAGTTTTAATATAAAAATTCATCTGAACTGGAAAATACTATTTCTTGTTAATATAACCCGAACTGAACCAAGAATCGATTCAAACTGAACCACTGGAAAATACTATTTCTTGTTAATATAATCCGAACTGAATCGAGAATCTATTCAAACTGAACTAGTATTGTTTGGTTTGGGCAGGTTTTTTAACCTTATAAACCAAAAAAACCTAAAATAATTAAATAAGAGAAAACTTGGCTGAATCATAATCACTGGATAAACTTGGCCGAATCACATTAAAAAAAATCCTTATTAAAAACTTTAAATCCAAGCCCTTTGATTGAGATTTGAAAGATCTCCCTTAACCGAATTATAATAACTGGATTTATCCAAGTTAGTACAATTACATGTTTAAGATTCCAATAACATCCTGTAAACTACTGGGATCTCGTTAGCACAACTGCATATTAATAAAACTATAAATGATTTATCCAAGTTAGTACAATTACATGTTCAAGATTCCAATAACATCCTGTAAACTACTAGGATCTTGTTAGCACAACTACATATTAATAAAACTATAAACAAGAATTTTATCCAAGTTTTCTGCCATAAAATAAAGCAAAGAGTAGAAAAGCAACAATATAAAAGAAAATAAGTTGCTTTAAGCCTTCCTTGTACACAGAGAAGAGGGAGATGGACAGAGAGAGGGGTGGGGTGACTAGAAAAGGGGGAAGGAAAAACGGGGAGAACGGGGAGGGAGGGATGGGTAGGGTGATTGGAAAGAAAAAAAATTAAAAAAAAAAAGAAGAGGACGACTAGAACGGTGGGGGGCCAGAGAGAGGGGTGGGGTGACTAGAAAAGGAGGAAGGAAAAAGGGGAAAAGAGGGGAGAACGGGGAGGAAGGGATGGGTAGGGTGATTGGAAAGAAAAAAAATTAAAAAAAAAAAGAAGAGGACGACTAGAACGGTGGGGGGCTAGAAATATAAGGTTAGAGTATTTATTATTTAGGTTTAGAATGTTTGCTTTTATATTTTTTTTTATATTTAATTAAACAAGTTTGGTTTAATCCGGTTCAATCGGTTTAAGTCTTTTTAAGTTGGAATCGAACCGGACAAGATGATTTTTTATTTTTTAATCGCTTTATTTAGTTTTTTTATTGGTTTAATTTTTTTTTTTGGTTTTTTCAGTTTAATTGGCTGGTTGTTTTTTTGAACATCCCTATGTAAAATATATTTATAATCAACCTAACAAAAAGTTCTTTAATTTTTTTTATTCATTTGTTGTATCGTGTTCAAATTTTTGTAACTAACCGATTTAAAAGGATTTATTTGATTTTATTTGATTATTTTTTCTTTTATTTTTTGAGGTTTCTAATATTTATGTTAATTTTTAAATTTATTTAATGAGTTTGAGACAGATTAAATATTTAGTAATAAGATTTTAATTTAAAATTTGTATAATCATTCTATTTAACATAATTTTATGTTATTTATTTTTGTTGTGTTTTTTATTATGTTGTTTTCATCCTCGTCATTTTGAATTTGTATGTTTTTTTTATAATATATTTTTGATCGTGATTGAAATGTATTTTTAAAATATTTTTATTTTTTTAAATAATTTTTTTTAGTGTTTTTAAATAATTTAATGTATTTATATTTAAAATAAATTTTAAAAAATAAAAAAAATTAATATATTTTTTTAAAACAATTATTTTAAAACATAATCTCCATCACATTCTCCAACGTATCATTAGCCATGGAAAAAAATTCTTTATGTATCTGGCTACGCAAAAGCCCGTAGCCCAAAACAATATCCTTTTATGGAACGCCACCAGTCCCATTAGCTGAGAAATTGCGTCGTCGTCACATTTCATAAACCCTAAACCCTCAAAAATAAAATAAATCCCCCCATCATCAAATCAATAATACCATTCCCCTGTAATGGCTTTCTCAAGATCAGCACTCATCTCCAGGCTTCTCCGCTTGAACCAACCTCGCCCCGCCGCCGTTACCTCCGCCCGCTCTTTCCACGCCACCACGTCCACGCTCAGCGCTCCACCCAAAGATGACCCAGCCGATTCCACTCAAAGCCTCGAACAAAACGAAGATATGGAAACTCTTGCTGAGAAAGCTTCAAGAATGATCAGTGATATGAAGGAGAAAATAAAGTCCATCAATCCAGGTTATAATCATTACTAATTTTTTGTTATTTATTTAGTTTCTGTTTCACTGTAAAAAAAGTAACAGTTGATAAGTTTAACTGCTTGTCAGATTTTCAATTTCCGAATTTTGATAATC